ATATGTGTAATTAGAGCAAATGCATCAAGGGGACCAACTGAAAAGTTACAGAAATGGTTAGCAGGTTCAGTCGGACTCTTCTTCAGGCTTCGTGGTATGGTTTACAGAAATGGCAAGAGGACTTTTATAGCATTTTAGCAACTTAAGCAGCAGTCAGAATCAAAACAAAAACATTTGTTTTGTGACTAAATCACGTATTTGTGAGATTATTATGCCTTTGGGCCTATTTAGCCCAGTGGCTTCCAACAATTGGTGCTTAGACCACGATCAAGTACAGACATGGAGGAAACTGAGCTGAGAAAAAATAGAAGGGTTCACTCTATAGATGATATATGGAACTAATAACATACTTTGGAACTAATAAAATATTTTCTATGGCAGGATGTAGGAATCAGACAGCAACCCTAGTCAGTATTGCCAATTGTAAGGAATGATAGAACTTGCAGTCGAGCAACATGTGGAAGGACAGATGATTCTCACTCTTGTCCTTTGGTTAGCACCAATTAGAGTAGATCCACTAAATCAGTTGCTACTGTTAAGCCCACATATACAGGCAGCCCCCAAGTTACAAACAAAGGACTTCCACATTATTTATAGTTCAGAATGGGGGTGAGACATCAGGAAGTGAGAGAAATCTATCCCTAAAAAGGCAAAATCACTTCTGAAATCATAAGGAAAAGGTGTCTCCACTAAAGCTTCGCCACCAATCTCTGTTTCCAAAACAACCCAAATTTTTCAAAATCCAATTATCGCAGGGACAGAAAGTGAGGGGGAAATCTTCTGAACAGGGATGTATACAGCAAAACACACACTGCAGGGGTGTTCACCCTTTCTCATGCTCTCATGCTATCCAAAGCATGTGTGCATGCATATATATCTATATATATATATATAGAGAGAGAGAGAGAGTTACAATTAAAAATGTACCTGTTCCAACTTACATACAAATTCATCTTAAGAACAAAACTACAGAGCCTATCTTTTTCATAACTTGGGGACTGCCTGTACGCGTATTCCAATCTGGCTGATTCAGTTGATTGACTGTAATTAAGATTAGCAAATGGATTAAGGATTCAATTTAGCTAAGTCTGTGAGGGTATAAATATCAGTAAAGAGGTTCAGAGAATGCCTGCAGTTGTGTTGTACATTACAGTGAAATGTTTATGATACACTTGACAGAAAGTGTGGAATAACACTTGACTTTAGACAAGCTGATTTATTTTTAAAAAGGTCCAGGTTCAGGATTCTGCTGAGAAATTTAAAACTTCTACAAAGTTGGTTCTCAATACAATATACTTTCTGTGAAATCATCATTTCACATCAATTAAGTAGACAACCATAGGATACACTAGATAGCATTTAGTTTTTTGAAAAATACAAATGGATACTTAGAAAAGGCAAGGAAATGTCACTGCATAGTCACAAAGGTTTTTGAGAGCCTTTTGACCTGAGATTACAAATGGCGGGACTCATCTGCTCCAGTAGTTACAGTACAGGTAGAGATGGAAGGATATGATGGTCTCAGGAATTATTTTTCCTCTAATGTTTAAGTAAAGCCCATCAGTTCCTTTAAAAAATCATTGTGTGTGTGCATGGTTGCCTATCCACATATTTTTGGAAGGAGGAAGTTTTTAGTTCTCATTTATGAACATAGTGGAAAATGAAGAGTCAATTACTTCTTAGCAATATAGAATCCAGAAGTGCTGTGATGAGATAGTTCAGTGGTTAAAGAATAGAACCTCTGGATGGCTTTCTTTTTTGTCTCTCTTTTCTTTATGTTTGGTATGATAAAGTGGTATGCAACTGAACATTAACTTATCTTATCAAGGCTTAATAATTTCTATGAGAGGATGGTGAAGTGGGTTTGTGACAATCACTGCTGTGATCAGAAAAAATAGCTTTTTTTCAGCACTGTTGTTCTTTTAACTTGATACTTAAGAAAACATGGATTTTCTGTGAGGCGAATCAGCCACATAAACTGTATTCCTGTAGGGACTTGCTTTCTTTTCTGGGAGGACTGTAGGTGGGTTGTAGAGCTGTAAGGTCTTTCTCTCATGCCCAGGCAGAGTGCACCATGTCATTGTCTGCTGACATAAAATCAGATTATCATAGGACTGTTTGTTTTTATGGAGTTTCAACAGTCCCAAGTTGAAAGTGTATACACAATGTAGCTCAGGTATGGGCAAAATAAGGCCCATGGACCAGATGCAGCCCCTTGGGTACTTACCTCCAGGTCTTCTTTGTTTCCCTGTCCTCTCAGCATAAGGACAGGGGAGGAAGACATGCAGCGACTGAGAGCCCGCTGAGGACTCTCAGCCACCATTTGTCTTGCCCTCCTCTTGGCATAAGGACATGGTGAGCCGCCACATCCTTATGCCAAGAGGACAGCCAAAGGAAGATATGCAGCAGCTGAGAGCCCTCTGAATGGCTCTCAGCAGCCACATGACTCTTCCTCCTCTTGGCAGGAAGGCACATTGGGCCACCATGTCCTCCTGCCAAGAGGAGCGCTCCTCCAGAGAGCCCTGCATGGCTGTGTATCAAGCCCTCCCCGCATGCCAACCTCTCCCATGACATCTCCCCTGATGCCAACCCTCGCCCCCTTCTCCCCAGTCCGGCCTGCTCAGCCTGGCATGTAGCCACCTCTCTAAAAAGTTTGCTCATATCTGGGTTAGTTCATTGATGGTAGTCTCTTTTTTGTTAAACTCACTTACGTATCTTGTGATAATGTCCAATGCTAAATAGACCCCTATTAGTGATAACACAGTATAGCTAGGTGTAAAGGGGAGACAGTGGAGGGTCCCGCCCTAGAGTTGGAAAGAAGCTGTTCCTTTAAAACACCTGCAAGATGCAAGGATGCTGAATCAAAGCAAACAAGGAGACACAGGTGGACTAATTGAAAGGAGGAAGAGGGAATGAAGGAGTTGATATAAGAGGGAGAGTGGAAGAGGAACAGGAGGCTCGATTGGACTTGAGTTGTTGGCATGCTTGAATTCAAGGAGTTGCTAAGAGAACCTCAAATGACTACTTAAGACTTGTTTATCGTAAGCAAACCAACAGAATGGATGAACGTCCTTATGATGTCCCCCTGCCTATGGGGGACGCTGGACCTTCTCACGCTTGGTAACATCAAATTTATATGAGTTCCATTCTATTTTAAGTGGTTTCTGAGGGAGGCATCACTGAAGGTCTAAGGTTATTCCCTTAGTGAACTAAACACTGTCTGGAATTGAGTTAATATTTTTAGCACGCATGAAGACACATGTTACATGGAAATGATGGGTTCAGATTGTAAGGGAAACTTAAATATGGAAACCTAGTAGGCAGAAGAAAGGATTCTTGTAGATTTACAGCTCCCCTTTGTTAACCATTGGCAATTACTCTGCCTTCAACTGGAACTTATGTTTGAAAGAAAATAGGTGGGTGCATGGACTGGAAGGTGTGGCAAGGATGAAACGTTACCCTCCCACTTGACACCTCTCCATATGCCCCTCCATCTGTGATTGTGAAGGTTGTCTGTTGAAGTAAAGTGGATCAGTGGATGACTTTCTTTTTGCAGAAATAACACAAATAAAGAAAACAATACTTATACATACATAAACATACTTGAACAACAATTACATAGGTAATACACAGTTTCTCTTGCCAACATACACCTGTATATACATAAATTAGCTTTACAAGAGGAGCTCCCGGTGGCGCAGTGGGTTAAAGCCCTGTGCCGGCAGGACTGAAGACCGACAGGTCGCAGGTTCGAATCCGGGGAGAGGCGGATGAGCTCCCTCTATCAGCTCCAGCTCCTCATTCGGGGACATGAGAGAAGCCTCCCACAAGGATGATAAAACATCAAAAATCATCCGGGCGTCCCCTGGGCAACACGGCCAATTCTCTCACAACAGGACGCTCCTGACACACACACACAAAAAAAAAGCTTTACAAGAGGATTTTCTGCTTCCTTTTTATCAGTTTCTCTAGAGTTTAACTTTTTTCTTCCAACGTATATTCAGGGAGTTATTTACTTCTGCTTGTTTTTACATGAACAAATGAATATCTCAAGAGTTTATATTTCCAAACTTTTACAAAAAGTCTTTTCCTTTTCTTCAGATCTATATTGATAGAAACGTTTCCATTCTTCCAGCTATATATCCATATTTCATTCAGAAAAACTGCTAACTTTTCACTATCCAGTCTTCTATCATTAGTATTTTTTCCATTGTTGAGCATATAGGATTCTTGCCACTGTTCACATTTGCAGTGGATGACTACAGTGATACAACTTCAGTGTCTAAACATATCAGTGATATAGAAACTAGGTGGAACACAAGTGAATTGTGGATAGTGTTCTAATTATTGAGGAGAGAGTACTTTAAGGAAAACCACAAGCTCCATCCCCACTTACCACAATTTCAGTGAAAACATATAGCTTGTGGAAAAAATTTAATGTAATGTAAAGAAAAGCTTTGGTGTTTGTTGCCCTCTCTAGAGCAAAACTCCACATACTCATGCTTTTACCATTCACTCACATGCATGCAATATAATCTTGTGACCAAAAAGCAGAGCTTAGAGGAGTTACTTTGGGGACTACAATTCCACTGGCCATAGTGAGTGCAGGATTCTGGATACTGTAGCCCAAAAAAGTAAGTTACCTACATTCTGCGAAAAAAGAACAGCGAAAAGTAATGCTTTCACATCGAACCTTGCAAATCAAGGGCATTCAGTCCCCAAATCTAGAAATGATTCTAGTTAGTTAAAAATATTCTAGTTAGCCTTGAACATGATGTGATAGCTTGTGTGACACAAAGTTGGGGTGTTCCCCCCACCCTCACGGAGGATTCACAAATTGTAAAGATACCTTTAAGGCATTTTTGGGCCCTGGCCTTAGCTGGGAGTGGTAAGCTTCTGTCCCTGGGCGCAGTCTGGAGAGGAAAGGTGTGTGTGTGTGGTTTTGTACCTGCTAGCTGCTCCTCTCCTCATGGGCCTTTCTCCCTCTTCATTTTGTCCAGTTCCCAGTACAGCATCCCCTCCCGTCTCCAGTGCCTCCAATGATCCAGTGGGCTCCTACTCCATTAACGGGATTCTGGGAATTCCTCGGTCGAATGGTGAGAAGAGGAAACGTGATGAAGGTAGGGGGAGGGAGGGGCTCATCCTCCCTTTTTCTTTCCTTTTCTGGTCTTTCTTACTTTGCCCCCCTCATTCTCATTCTTTATGTCTTTGCCCCTCCCCACTGCCACTTCTAAATTCAGTTTGCAGACCAGGGCTTGCAGGTATCTTTGCATGAGAGATGACAGTCAGAATATAGAGGGCTTCTGCACACAACTTTGATGGTCTAGAAACTTTTTAATTAGAAGTTACACTCTTCAGATGACTGGGAGGCAGCAAAACCTTTTCCATTGTTGTAGCAAAATCCATTTGTCTGTTTATAGCTGAGAAGCACACCCTCTCACTCAGGATATTATTCTGGAAGCAAGCACATTCGCCCTGGCTTTGCAAATCAAAGCCAGCAAGAGGGCAATTCTGGAGATGTATAGTGACCTTGAAGGAGCTGGGGGTGGTGACGGCTGGCAGGGAGCTCTGGCGTGGGCTGGTTCATGAAGTCACGAAGAGTCGGAAGTGACTGAACAAATGAACAACAATAGTGAACACATAGGCAGGGTGCTTTTTCTCACTATTATTCACCAACTCCACCTTTGTGATCCCCTCAGGCTTTTGGCTACTGGCCTGAAGGCTTGGCAAAACCCAGAGATAACTATTTACTGGAAAATTTGGATATAATAATTGCTTCCTGTTTATTAGCTTCCACTATAAATGTCTTTCACTGGATGATGTCTTCTTCTGTATACAAAATGTTATTTATCAGTGTTCAATGGGTAGAGGAAAGGAGTGGTGCATCTATAGATAATGGACTTCATGGTGCTAGCTTGAAATTTCAGGAAATTGCTATGTTTCTCTAGATCTCCAGTTAGGGAGAAAAATGGTTGAACAGTGCTGGAAGAGGATGTTTGATGTTAGCCTGTGAAGTGGCCTTAAAGTCCCCTCTCCACTGTTGCTAGCTGAAACCAGAGATCTCTGGTGTTGTTGTTGTTGTTTTTACATATACCTTCAGTATATGTGTGCCAAGAGTCGGGTCAAAGGGGTTGGAATAAGGAAAGAAACTGAAGAGTTATATACTTGAGCTCATCACATCATTTGAATCAAAATAGAGAGTGGGATGGTAATGTTACATGCCTCATGGGTCTTCTTGTTGTAGAAGTCCTGGCAACAGCAGTACAGGGCTTACTAAGGAAGAATTCCTCAGAACTAGCAGTAGTTATTATTACACAGTCAACACACATTTTGGTGCCTCAAATGTTAGACCTGTTTCTGGATATATTTAACCCACTGATTACAAAAATGGCACCTATCAGCTCTAATTTTTGAGATGCAGAACATATGGCACATACCAGCCTTCATCAGCTCACCCATAGAAAATCATAATAACCATATCTAAAGAACTAGAGCTGATGCAATCTATCCAATGCAGTTTTCTGAATCAGTGCCATAAATAACCCTAGGAGCAAGCCTAAAAACCAAAAAACCAATTTTTTTTATGTTGGGCTGTGTTATACTATCTTATTCTTTTGTAAACTGTTTCCTCCATAATGGGACACAAGGCTACTTTCAAAATATTAAAACCAGGACAAGAAACAATGATTTAAAAACTATTAAACAATGTATAGAGTGCAAATTATTTATTATAATTAGAATGCTATATATAAAAAACAAAACAGCACAATACAAAAAGCTCATCGTTGTCAGTTCCAAAAAGTCTGATTGAATAGGGAAGTTACCACTTTCTGGCAGAAGAAAGAGATTATCCTAGTTGCTCTAGGTAGAGAGCTCCAAAGTCCTGAAGCTGCCATTGGGAAGGCCCTTACTACCAAATGAACCTGAGAAGGTAATAGGACAGGAGGGAAGGACCTCTCCCAAAGACTGTAAGGCTTTAACAGTCTTATATAGGAAGATACAGTCCTTCCAACAACTTGGATCTAAACTGTGTAGCACTTTATAGGGCATAAACATTGTTTTGTATTATGGTTGGCAACCAGTGATGCTGTTGTAATTAAAGTGATGGAGGCTCCTTATAGCCAGCCCAGTTTAACAGTCTGGATGAACAGAAAAGTCTTTGGGTTGAAAGTAGACTAGAATTTTATTTTATTATTATTATTTTGGTTGTGTCAGGAGCAACTTGAGAAACTGAAAGTCACTTCTGGTGTGAGAGAATTGGCCATCTGCGAGGATGCTACCCAGGAGATGCCCAGATGTTTTGATATTTTACCATCCTTGTGGAAGGCTTCTCTCATGTCCCCGCATGGGGAGCTGAAACTGACAAAGGGAGCTCATTAGTGCTGGGCGGTTTCGTTTCGTAATTTCGTAATTCGTCAAAAATTCGTTATTTTTTTATAACGAAGCGATATTGAACCATTCAGGAGCAACTAAAAAACGAAACGAATTTTTCCAATTCGTTTCGGAATTGTTTCGGAATTGTTTCGTTATTGATTCGTTATTGATTCGTAAATGTTTCGTTATTATTTCCGCATGTCTGGTGAAAGTTTTAGGGTTGCTGTTTGTTTTCTCAGTGAAAAAAAATATAATTATCACACCAACAGTCAACAACAGAGGGAGAGGGAAGCTTCAGAAGTTTTTTTAGCGTATTGCGCGATCGCGGCCGCCATTAACGAATCGATTCGTAATCGATTCGTAATTGTTTCGTAATTGTTTTATGATTTCCGAAATTTCGTAAATATCGAACTTTTTAAAGGAAAATTTCGGAATTCTTTTAAAAAACAAAACGCAAAAAACCCCTAAAAACGAATCGAGTTTAGAAACAAATTTTTCCGTGTTTGGACAGCCCTAGAGCTCATCCGCGCTCTCTCCGGACTCAAACCTCCGACCTGTCGGTTTTCGATCCTGCTGGCACAGGGTTTAACCCATTGCACCAGCAGGACCTCCTAGTAGACTAGATGACCTCTGATGATCCCCTTCCAAAGCTTGTATTCTCTGGCAGCTGTGAAGATATGTGGGGCAAGATAGTCAACCACTGATAAAAGAAAGACCCGATAGGCTTGTAAAACAAAGCAAAGATGACTTGAAGAACCTCTGACAGCCTTAATTCATCATTGCACAGGCTTCCCTATTTTTCCTTTCATGTTTCCATTATATTTGTTTGTAAAAGTGGAAATCAATTTTGAAGGTAATTTTCTGGAAAGAATGAAAGGGAGGTAGGAGGGCCAGGTAAGGCTGAGATGGGAAAACAGGAAAAAATATTTAGGGCAGGCACAGCCCAGGGGCAGCTCTTGGCAAGGTGAAAGAAAATTGCATATTCAATCTCCATCCATGAATCTCCTTCACCACTGCCCGCCTCCTGCTCAGCAACAATGAAGGCTTCCTTCTCTTTGCAAGGCAGGCAAGAAGGCCAGAATACCAGCACTCACTTTAAATTCAGGGTCATTAATTCACCTGATTACTGGCGGAGAAGAGAAGGTTGCAATAGCACCTTTTTTGGAAAGGGACCCTATGCTTCCAGTCCCCAAAGAGAGGAAGGAAGGAAAGAAGGAAGGAAGGGAAAAGAAGGGGAATCTCTGTTTTCATCGAGAATTGAAGCGGCCAAGTGGAGGCACAGAGCCATCCAGATTATATGAGGGAGGACGAATGGGAAGCAGCCATCATTGCATTCTCTGTTGTGCTGTTACTGCAAATTGAAAGTAGCATGTTTTGCCCTACATGATTCTCTCTTGAGAAGAAGAGCCAAATGTGTGCCTGTGTATATATGTTGGGGAGGGAGAAGGCAGGGAGGGGATTTATAATTTCTTCCTCGGAAGCTCAAGCACAGTATCACCATGTGAGATGACATTTGAATTTACAATTCCGCTGAGAAAAGCCATTAATTCACAAATTAACATTCCCCCCTCTCTCTTTCTCTCTCTCCCTCTCACATGGATGTGCAAAGCAATTGAAAAAGACAAAGGAAATAGCCTTAAGGAAGAGACTTTACTACTAGTCTGTCTGGGTGGAGATTGCTACTCCTGCTTCCAGATAGATAAACCAATTACCTGAGCGACACTGCTCATGGCAGCCTGCTATTACCTCCTTTTGTAGAACTGCTCAGGCCACCACTGGATTAAGCTTTATGTATCTCATTAATGTAAGCCAGCAAGACTCTGGGGCGCAGGCAGCATGTTTTTGAAGGGAGGGAGGGAGGGAGGGAGGGAGGGAGGAAGAGAAGGAAGGAAGGAAGGAAGGAAGGAAGGAAGGAAGGAAGGAAGGAAGGAAGGAAGGAAGGAAGGGTGTGGGAAAAGTACAACTGAACAGAGGGGGGAGAAAGGTTCCCCCCTCCCCATGCATTGTTTGGATCTATGCATTTGCTAAGACCTTCTGTATAGTTATCCTAATGGTTTTGCACACTGGTGTAATGTAGGACTTTTCTAGCCTGTGGATCGGACCATCTGTGTTTAAAACGGCCAATGATTCAAGCAGACCTAGTGTTCCCATGCTACTTGAGCTAATGAATTCATCATGTATAGTTTTAAAGTAAATATTCTCCACTGCCTATTCATCTGATAGTGTACAATAGGTGACAGCAACAGGAAGTGACCCAGGTGTTATGAATAACTTTCCCACATTGGAAAAGATTATCCCACTTTTGACACCAATTAGTCATTAATGACATAATAATAATAATAATAATAATAATAATAATAATAATAATAATAGTCCGCTATCAAGACCTCAAAATTGAACTGCAAAGACTCTGGCATAAACCAGTACAGGTGGTCCCAGTAGTCATCGGCACACTGGGTGCCGTGCCAAAAGATCTCAGCCGGCATTTGGAAACAATCTGTCAACTGCAAAAGGCCACCTTACTTGGATCTGCGTGCATCATTCAAAAATACATCACACAGTCCTAGACACTTGGGAAGTGTTCGACTTGTGATTTTGTGATATGAAATCCAGCATATAGATCTCGTTTGCTGTGACATACTGTGCTTTTGTATCAATAATAATAATAATAATCTTTACTTATAACCCGCCACCATCTCCCCAATGGGGTCTCAGGGCGGCTAACATGAGGCCGAGCCCAAAAATA